AGCCGAAGCCGGCGCCCGACACTCCGGCCCACACAATGCGCCCCGCGCGGTGGGGGCGGCGGGCACCACCAGAGGCCTGGTGGAGGGCGTTGTTGGCGGCTGAGCGCGTCGGCGGAGCGGCCAGCGGGCTGGGACTGGGGTGGAGTCGGCGCGGGGTTTGAACCGCCGCTGTGCTGGGCCTGGGGTTCCTGCGGGCCCCTTTGCTGAGAAGGGGAAGGAGACCTAGGAATGGAGGGTCTCTATTGTGACGAGACCTCACTGCGGGGCTGCTGGTGCTAACACCTGTTGTTGCAAGCTTCCCGGTTTTCAAGTTAGGCTGTTTGAAAAGAGAAAAACTGCTCGACTATCCAAGCCTTGTGAGTTTGCTAGTGTAGCGGTACTGTTGCTACGGTTTAAAAAGACAGAAAAGTTACCACAAGTAAAACCTATGTGTGTATACTATCTGTAGTCCCTGAAACTGGACAAGTGGAGCGTTTACTGGATCCAGTAAAGCAAACACATTCATCCACCATAAATAACAACCTCTTTGCCTGTTACATTAAGCCCTCAAAAGTTAAGTTCTTAGGAAAACTTGAGTACTATTTTGCATAAAAAGCTTCTTGGTTTTTTTGTTGTTGTTAACAAGCGACAAAACTGCTTATAATGGAATTTGGTAAGTAAGCTCTTTTGGTGTTTGAACTGAAAATTTAAAACACATAAAAGTGGCATACAATTACAGGAGAAGCTCTGAAAATAAGTTTCCAAGAAGTACTGCATTGCTGTAACTTAAAACCTTCAGTAGGTGAAGAAGAATTTGGCTTCTTGATTGATGTGATACTGTTGATTTAAAAAGATAGGGAATACTGATTTCTTTCTGCTTCGATTTCTTTTTAAACAAATTTCCTTTGAGTATGATTAGTCCTGAGGAAAAGAAAGGTTGAAGGTGGGATGTGTTAGAGCTTGTGGCCGGAGCCCTACTAGACTGTGTCTTAATTTGTGTTGTCATAACTCTGGGAATGTAAAAAAGTTGATATTTAATAAATTTGTGATTATTATAAGACAATTATTCCTTAAATTAACCAAGCCCAAAATTGCATTGTGATATTTTTTCCATAGCACCATATACTGTAATTTCTTGTTTAGTACTTATTTATTATAGTACATATTTATTAAATAACATATTTACCTGGCTGGTACTGCGCTTGGACAAATTGCCAAGTTCACAGTTAATTCTGTGTGTGTGCCCTGCAAAGAAGAAACAAGTTGAATTTCAGTACACAGAGGCAAACCTTATTTCAAAATACACACTGCTTTATATTTTCAAAGTGCCTGATGACTTTGTTCTCTTGTGTCTCCCCAGGAAAGAATGTATTTAATTATTGTTTTTGTGTAGACTTGAATGCTTTTTTTAAAAGACCGTTATAATCGTGCAAGTAAACCCTGTCAGGAAATATTCATGAAACATATTAGCAAATCAACTTGCTGTTAATCTTGGCTATTCACTAATCCAGAAATCTGTCTTTCGGTTGAAGAAATTTTTGTAGAGAATGTGTTTTGTCTAGTTTATATTCTGACCACAAAACATTAAGGGTATTCAGATATATGTAATAATAAGTTGCTAATATCGTATCTAGACTTTGTGTCATGGATTTAATTTAAAAATTTAGATCTGTTTAGTAAAAATATTTGAATATTTCTCTTTAATAAAACATAAGCTGGGGGCCTATTAATAAAAACTTCAGAGGTTAAGGGGACATGAAGGAACATAGAGTAAAGCATTTTGTCACTGTTGCCTGTTAACAGTAGTGAAATGCCTGTCAATTTGTCACTGGGGATGTTAGATCTTGGGAGGAAAAGCAGTTGTAGAAAATTACAGTGCAATAATTTTACACAAGTGTCTCTAATAAAAGTACTTTTTTGAATTATAAAGCCGTTTTATAAAATTATCTAAATTTTTTTAACTCTTAAAAGACTTGTTGCATTTTTGTCATTGTTTTATAGATATCTTTCTGGTTAAGATTTTTTTAAGCTCAAAAAGAGTGCTTTTAAAAAAAATTTTGCTGTGCTTAGTATGCTGAAGTTGGAAATTGCATATGATATTGCAATGTGATTTAAAATATGAAGTTTAATATTTCAGCTATAGGCACTTAGAGGTTTGACACTATCATTAGTGTGTTCTTGTAATAGTGTATTGATGATTTTAATATAGGTTTAAGAACTTAAAAAATACAAGGCTTCAATGTTACAAAACCTCAGATTTTTTTTTTTATTTTAGATTAAAAATCAGTTTCTTAGATTACTCTGAGAATCTTCCTTAACTACTGTTTGTTCTAGAAACTGGAACAACTCAATCAATATCCAGATTTTAACAACTACCTGATTTTTGTTCTTACAAAATTAAAATCTGAAGGTAAGAAGTATTTGTGTCGATAACTTTGAAAGTGTTTAAAGCCTGTTAAAATATAATAGGAACTGCTTGCCTCAAAGGATTTTATTTTGTTACCACCATAGTTTCACAGATGATAAGAGAGCAGAGATACTTTGGTGTTAGTACCACTCATAGGTACATAGGTGCTTAAAAAGCATCAATTAATTCAGTACTTTTTCTAATAAAGTCCCTACTTGTGAAGTGAAGAGTGTTGCAATGTTTACTTTGGTGTTTTCCTTCAATCCTTGTCATAAAAGTTGATTTAATACACAGCCTAAATGCACTATTTAATAATTACCTGAATGTGTTCATCATAGAAAATAACTGAAAGTTCATATGGCCATACTGAAGTCATTTAATGATCCCATCATCGAGACCATTTGAAGTTTCATGAAAAATGGGATCATCCTGTTTATAATACTTTTAGAACTTCTAATGCAGTATACGAAAGTTTTTCATTAAGTTGTTCGACAAATTTTAAAATAACTGCAGTGACAATTTAAAACTTGAAAATTGGTCTCATTTTTAAATAATTCCTTTTGATTGTTTCTAATGCATATTTTGTGTCCTGCTAGACTTGGTAAGAATCGCTAATCGCTACCCTTCTAGTGCTAACAGAGTACTAAGGGGGATTCTTCATGGAGCTGAGTTTCGAGTGTTCCCTTCATAAAGCATCAGACACAAAAAGTATTTATTGAGCAACTGACTGGCCTCCCAGTAGAAGCTTTATAATATCCTTTTCGGTGGTTAGTATTTCAGAAGCTGTAGTGCAATCAGTAAAAAACACTGCACTTGGAGTTGGGAAATGTCTTAGTCACTGACATTCAACTCTTTTGCTTCTTTCAGCTATAAAATGCCTGTTTTAGACTACCAGAACACCTGTAAGGTTTCAGCTCCAGGCTCTTAACAGGTTAATGTGTAGTGAAATCTCGTTCATCTTGTGTTTATTCAGATTTTGATAATCCTTACACAGTGTAGTGATTTATTTTTAATTACTTCCAAGTAATTTTCTGATTAATCTTAGGGAATTTAATTTGTGATTGAGGGTTGTAATACATCTAAATCTAGGTATTTAAGAAACTAGAAATTCCTTAAGCATATCTTTAAGTTCAGTAACTAACATTGCTAGTTTAATAAATATACATTATTTCTTAACACAAAAATTTTGTTTTTCCCTGCATGGCTTTTTGTAGTGACATCAGTATTTGTTTTTCAGAGACCCAAGTACTTTTATCTTAATCTATAATTAATTTCACTTGAGATTTTTAAATTTCTTTACATCTTACTATCACTTCAAGTCCTCATCCTAAATTCCAAATGTTAAGATTATTAAAATACTATACTCTCTTAAAGCTTTGTTGGGCTATAGACACTTCAGAGGTATTTTTAAAAACAAATTTAAAAAGTCAAATGAGCAAGAGAGGATGTAAATGCCTCCAGTAAGACCTAGTGAATATTTCATCTGTTCTTCAGTCTTAAGAGACATGGTAGAAACATTACATTTGTATAACAATTGATATTTTACTCATTTTTTTGGTATACAAGTTTGTTATACCTAGCTTCAAGTTTTAAAACTGAAAGCATCCTTATCAGCTTGTTCAAGTCCCTTACTTCACACATGAACAAATTGAAGCCCAGTGGTCTTCCTTTTTTTAAAAGAGCAAGTGGTTAATTGGTGGCTTCATCTTTTTAAGGTGGTTTTTGGACAGAGGGGGTATTTTTCTTTTAGTTATCTTATGTTAAGTACTTTTTAAATCATTTTGCCACTGAAATAAAATCGCATTGCTATGATTTAAGAGCTAAATTAAGTTTTAAAGTTCATTGATCAAGGAAGTCAAGTATGTCACTGTTCTGTACCATGCCTAAGAAAAATTAGAAGTGTAGTTTATTTTGCTTCATTTCAACTAGTTTATAATTGAAACTGAGAAGGAGTTTTAGTTTGGTGACATATACAAGCTCTTGGACTGTCTTGACAGTGATTTGGGCATTTTTTGCTTTTCCACGTGTTTTACTCTTGAAGATGTCAACTTTAGTAAAACAAACTTGGGTATTTTTTTTTTTTTAATAAGCTGTATAGAACAGTAGTGTTTAGACACATTCTGTTCAGCATACCCACTTTTTGTGTCTTCTAGCCCTTTGAGAATGAGGGTGCCGTAAGTGTACTTAAGTGTGGTCCTTGGAGACCGAATCTTCAGGGTGATGTCTTGCAGTCAAATGCTCTGCCTCTGAGCAGTACCCCTTAGAATGGTGTTTTGTCCTTGCCACTTAATAGTTTTATTTTACTTTAGCAAAAGCTTCAGTTTCTTCATTTGTGTAGAGGGGATCGTAATTTTTGTTTCATGAAATGGTGAGAATTGCAAACTACTGGAAAATATTTAGTACTGTCAAAGCAGTAATTATATTAAATTTTGAAAATTTAATACCATCTAGTCTTAAACCTAAAGTAAATTCCGTTTTTAAAATACTTCTGCAAATGTTTAAATTGTTCTATCCTCCCACCCCCCACTTTTTTTTTTAGCTCAGAGGCGAGTGAAAAACAAATGAACAGCAGTTATTTGTATATAAACGTGATCCCATATATTCTATTTAATTTTTAATGGGATATTTTAGTGACTAATGCTTTCAGATCTGTAATTTGATGTTTTTATCAGGTTCCAATAAAGCTTCAGTAACATGAATATATATAAACCAAATTAACTCTTAAAAGTAAATCAGTGGTTCTCAACCAGGTGCATATTTTTCTTGTCCAAGAGACATTTAACATATATAAACATTTTTGGCTATCACACCTTGGCGAGATGATACTGACATCTGTAGCGGTTAGTTGTCCATCTACCTGTACATGAGGACAGTAACTCACAGCATAAAATTCTGGCTGCAAATGTCAATAGTGTCAAGGTTGAGAAACGCTGAATTAGAAAATCATGGATCTGATCTATTGAAAATCGTTTATATTTCTTTCCTGGTTATAGCAAAATTACTGGTTGCAATCAATTTTGAATATAAATATTTAAGTTTCTGCTCTTGGTATATTTTGAAATTAAAACTACTTTTAAAATTCATCTTATTTTATTACAGATGAACCCACAAGATCATTGAGTGGTCTCATTTTGAAAAATAATGTGAAAGCACATTTCCAGAACTTTCCAAATGGTGTAACAGACTTTATTAAGAGTGAATGTTTAAATAATATTGGTGACTCTTCTCCTCTAATTAGAGCTACTGTAGGTAAGTCATATTGTAACAATTTGGCTATCCTAAATATTTAACTGGAAGGATTTTGGATATGGCAGGCCATTTCTGTAGAAATTTGTCTTTCATTTCTTACTGAATCATAATGAGAAATTTTTCACTGTCCCTTAAATTTTTATGAAATAATGCTACCAGTCACAGCAAAGCTCTCAACCCTGTGAGACATGGGTCACTGGTAGTTACTTAATCAGAGTTGGTTAAGACAGGACATTAATAAATGGTATTAATCTGTCTTTTCTCTGAATTTCTTATCTGTCATCTTTGTGTGGTATTTGGGATATAATTTTCCATTTCACATTAATGGAAAGAAACTTCTATAAAACAACTTCAGTATAGGGCTCTAGGCTTTTTGTGTTTTCCTGTTGTTTTTTTTTTAATAGTGATATTGAATTAGAATGCTTAATTATAAGTGGTATAAGAAACAGAAATAGCCTCCCTGATGGCACAAGGGGTTAAGTCTTAACATTATCAAGCTATCAGCAGCCACTGCAACACAAGTTTGATCCCTGGCCTGGAAGGTGACCCACATAGCACAGCAGACCTCTCTTGTCATCCTCTGCTCACCTCAGTAGTGTTTTTCAATCTGCTTGCCTATTCTGCTCCGCTCCGCACTCTGTCTCTAGTGAATCCTTGCACACAACATACCCTGGTCTATTCTCTGCCTCTTTCATGCATAAATAATTTTTTTTTTTTTTTTTTTTTTTTTTAAGAAACAAATAGGTCTGCTCTGCAGTAGCCAACTATAGTGGGCAAAAGTCACTATGTCACAGAGCTTAAATAACTAAATTTCACAAAGACCTGGAAAATTTACCTGGCAGGTTTACTAAGTACACATCAGTTAAGAACTTCCATGGGTCAAAATATTTTTGTTAGAAATGCTTTTGTATATTTTTATTAGAAATTCTTTTGTCTCATGGTGGGTATGTGATTCATCTCTTAAAAAGCAGAGGTTCTGCGTTTCCTCCAAATAATAGTTCTAAAGACTGCTGTAATCAACTGATTTTCAGTGGGATGAGTAGAAGGCATTTCTAATTTGACACAAAGGATTCCCAGGTTATTCTGATGGATCCTCCTGTACCCAGCTAATGCTCTACCAACCTTTGGAAACTGGTGAAAAGAATGAGTGTATGCCAACCTTTTTTTTTTTTTTTTTTTTTTCAATTATTTAACAACAACCATTGAGAATTTTGGCAAGGGAATATACTGGAAAAGTACATTTTAATGGCTAATCTGTTAATTGAATGTAGAATTGTTTCTTCCATTAAATAATACATATTTTGTAATTTCAGTGATCATCATTTTATGTGTTTATTCACTTGTGCTTCAGTTTCTGTAGAATTAATTCTGATAAGTGCCATTGCTGGGTGTTGTGGAATATTTAAAATAGTGGCAAGCACTATTCATGCCCATGTTATTCTGTATCTTGGAAGTTGACTTTATTTTTTTGCAGCTATATAAACTAGAGTATTAGAAAATTTGGGGAAGTGAATAATATGAGGTCAGATAGACTTGCATTTATCAGTGAGTGTTGCACTTAGTACCAAGTTGTAGCTTGTGTTTAACTTTTATTGCCCTTTTTTTAAAAACAATTATTTACACATACAGAACTGGGGTACAGGCCATAGGTGCAGGGGCGATGAGAGGATTCACCAGAGACAGAGTAGAGACCAGAACAGGCAGATCAGTGAAGTACACTGCTGAGGAGAGCAACGGGTGGGTCAGGAGAGGTCTGCTGTGGATCACCTCTAGGACAGGGATCAAACTCATGCTGAAGTGGCTTTTAGCTTATTAGTGCTGTGCTTTCACCCACTGCGCCACCAGAGAGGGCCCCTATAACTTATTTTTAAGACTTGCTTGATTTCTTTTAGGTAGATTCAAAGAGTCCTCTGTCCCTTAGTTTATGTGCATTTTATCTTTAGTTGGCAAAAAGAAAAAGAATTAAGTCTTGCTGCGTTTCGATCTTACTAGAAGGCTATTTTATTATTAGTTTTATCTTAAAAACACTATCAGTACTTTGACCCTTGCCATATGTTTAATTTTTCAGTGGAGAAAGTAATTACTTACCAATAACTTTACATTTTTGTACATCTTTGTCTCTGGGAGCAAATGGTTTTAGAACTAAAGGTGGAAAACTCAAAATTTATCACCCAATGATTTTCACTGAGTGTTTACTATATGTGAGGCATTTTGAATTCATATCTCAGGGAGTCACAAAATTATGAATAAATCCCTTTTTCTATTATCATTTTGACAGTAGTTTGAAACATAAAAATACTTAGAATTTGTCCATTGTCAATGTATACTCTTTTATTTTAAAGAATTTTTTTCTTCTAGATTTATTTGTGCATACAGAACTAGGGTACAGGCCAGACGCTCAGAGGCGGTAAGAAGCTTCACCAGAGACAGAGTGGGGAGCAGAACAGGCAGATGACGAAGTACACTGCTGAGGGGAGCAGCGGGCGGGTCAGGAGAGGTCTGCTGCGCCATGTGGTCACCTCCTGGGCAGGCAGGAATCAACTCATGCAGAAGTGGCTTTAGCTTCTTAGTGCAGTGCTTTAACCTGCTGAGCCACAAGGGAGGGCCGGTCAGTGTATACTCTTAATTATACTAAAAGATCCATAATCTTCAAACATGGCATAATATTACTAATAATTGTTTTCTAAGGCAAAAAAAAATTAACATGTAGCTCTTGTCTTATTTCAGTAATCCTTAACTATCACACATAAACTGCACAATGCTGTTAAAATACCAGAGTGACCTAATCACTCAGCATGTACCACCAGTTAGAGTGTACCCCCATTTGGCTTCTGGGACCACTTCCAAGATCCTTGGTCTAGTCAGTGCCAAGTATTACAGGTGTGTGTGGTTTGTCCACACCAAGATTGTTGTAGGTATATAAGATTACTTTAAACTGGTGGCTCATCTCTTTTGTTGTTCCCTTACTATCGAGCTCCTAGGCTATGATCCTAGGTTTAGAAAGGGCTTTGTTCTTCAGAGTTTTTTTTTTTTTTTTTTAACTAATAAATTCATACCCATCACCCAGTAGTAAGTGCTGCTTAGATTTTTGCATACTTTCTTTCTACTCTTGTAAATTTTCTGTAAAATAGGACTGATTTTAATTAGTAAATCAATTCTTAGTATTGTTGAAGATCAAGTTCTAGTCTTTCGTACGACATGTATTAAAATTTTTTTAAAAGTTAAGTATAGGTAAACAAGATTAGAAACAGATTTGGTTTATGCTGTGATCTTTGCACATGTGTGGTAATATAGAAGTGCTCAATTGCTCCTTATGTGGTTTGGAAGACTTGGGTTCATTTAGGACCTGTGCATCCATGCAGTTCTGTGCTGTGCACAGTTATTCACATGCCAATATTTAACATGCTCATAGATTTGCTAATGGTGAGTGTTTTCTTTCAAGGTATTTTGATCACAACGATAGCCTCTAAGGGAGAATTGCAGAATTGGCCAGATCTCTTACCAAAACTTTGTAGCCTGCTGGATTCTGAAGATTACAATACTTGTGAGGTAATGATATTTAATTCATATATAACTTCGTCATACTGTGTTTAGTAACTTTTGGGGGGGAAATTCAAACTTAGAAACCTGAAGTTACCTTTTTGTTTCACAGTTGTGATCATTTATCTTTGTTTTCTATAAAGATAACTAAGTTATAAAGTTTCTTTACTATGATTCCTGTAAGGAATTGGGTATTTTTATTTTAAAATTATTCTTAGGTGGGTTGTATATATTATAAACTAAGCTGTGTCAAACTTAATCACTTAATGTGTTTATTTTTTATTATAATTTTTTTACGTCATTCTTCATTTTGTATTTCTTTTCATCTCATTTGTAACCCTGTGGACTCCCCACCAGTTCACGCATGTGCTATCACCATAGTCCCTTGTGCTTTCCACCCCAGTTTTGATCTTATTTCCCTGTCCACCCCTATAGAATGTCTCTGGTTGATAGTTGTGAGTTGATGTTTGTTTTTATATTTATGTGTATATACCTCTCCCCATCTCTTCCCTCCCCCCCCCCTTACTATGAGTGAAACCACCCGGTATTTTTCTTTCTGGCTTACTTCACTAATCATGATTCCTTCTAGCTTCATCCATGTTAATGTGGTATTATTTGAAGACAGACTTAGTTACTAAATTCCCAGACCATTAGTGTTTTGTTTTGTTTTTTCAGTTTCTCTGAATTGTTCCTATGCTTCATACTTTGTTACATGCCTAATCTAGTTTTAATCTTACAGTAGCCATGATCTCTTTCCAATGATAAATCAGTAGCAACCTTTCCTTTTAGAAGAGGGTCTGGTTGGAGTTTTTCTCTATACACTCTCAATGTTAATGAGTACTTCATCTTTGATTATCAGGCTTTCAGTTTGGATAGAAATTATTTAATGGAAAATATTTTGGGTGTTTTGCCTCTAAATCAGTGACATCTGTCTCTCAAGAGGGCAGGGCGTGGTGGCCTTATGACTTGACATCTGTTGCCAGGTTTCTCTCTGGGACAGTGTGCACTAGGAACAGGGAGAATAAGGGAAGGAGTGTTTGAAGTCACTCTTCTTGCTCCCTAAAAGAAAAAAATCATCTTGAATTCTCATTCATTTTCCAGTAATTCCTTGGAAGAAACACTGATGACAGAAAAATTATTTTTGTCTTAAAATTGAATGAGTTCATTTACAGATTTTATGCAGTAGCATTCTTTTATGGGCTAAGGATATTATCCGTACACAGTAGTGAGTATTCCTCAACTTGCTTTTAAAATGGCTTCACTTGTAATGACTTCTAATAATGTAAGTATGCTTTCTACAGGGAGCATTTGGTGCACTTCAGAAGATATGTGAAGATTCTGCTGAGATTTTAGATAGTGATGTTTTAGATCGTCCTCTCAACATCATGATACCGAAATTTTTACAGTTCTTCAAGCACAGTAGTCCAAAAATAAGGTATCTGTACAGTCAACGTTAATTTATAAACTAAGAAGCCTTGCCAGGCTCTTATATTACCTAATATTTCTGTGATAATAAGATACTGGATTTATGGATATTCCATAAAAGTGAGCTTTGACAATTCCTTTAACAAAACGATGGAATATCAATTCCTGCTGAAATTTTCATTGAATATGATAGTTTTGTATCTTCGTGGTTAATTACAGTTGTATAGTTTTGGTCTTGTTTCTTTTCAGTGTTCTTTTGTAAGACTGAAAGTTAGTTGTGTTTGGGTTTTTATTTTTAATTCACGAATCTTGCCAAATATCTACTTTAATTTGTGGCTGTGTGATAAGTTTCTCCAGTATCACATCTAAATTGTTTAGTACTTCTAATTTTAGGGTTTATTTCTAATTATTAAAAGATACTTTAGGCCCTCCCTGGTGGCGCAGCGGGTTAAAGCACAGCACTGAGAATCTGAAGCCACTTCCGCATGAGTTCGATTCCCGCCTGCCGCCTGCCCCGGAGGAGACCACATGGCGAGCCAGACCTCTCCTGACCCGCCCGCTGCTCCCCTCAGCAGTGTACTTCGTCAATCTGCCTGTTCTGCTCCCCACTCTGTCTCTGGTGAAGCCTCTCACCGTCCCTGAGCCTCTGGCCTGTACCCCAGTTCTGTATGAATAAATAAATAAATCTTTTAAAAAAAAATTAAAAAAAAAAAGGTTCTTTAAGCATAAAGGTAGAAGGATTTTTTTCTGTACACTCTGAAATCACATAGGGCTCATTTACTGGTCCTGAAATTAACCTGGTCATCATCTTGTTCTCTCCCATATTCCTAATTCCTAGAACAGTTGCTATCTTAGAGTTCTTAAAATTCAGTTACATTATTTAAATAATGTAGTATAGGGGGCCATCCCTGGTGGCTCAAGGGGTTAAGATGCAGTACCATAAACCTCTTCACAGCCATTGCAATATGAGACTGATTGCTCAGCAGAGAGCTGACCCACATGGCACAGCAGACTTTTTATCTCACCTGCTGCTCCCTTCGGCAATGTATTTCATTTGATCTGCCTGTCCTGCCACTCTGTCCCTGGTGAATCCTCTCAGCCCCTGCATCTCAGGCTTGTACCCAGCTCTTATATGCATAAATAAATCATTTTTTTGAAGTTTAAATAAATACATAGTATGTGTAATATAAACATGATATATTTCTTTAATTTATTTATATTGTGTAAATCACGTTGTATATATTAGCCTTTGATTAAGTTAATTTCCTTTTATTTTTTTTGAGCTTTAATTATTGTATTGTGTCTATTACATTGTTGAAATGTGTTAAGACCAACCACCAAAAACATTCTCAGGCTTTTGTATACTCCTTTCTTGTCTCCCCATTCCACGTTATAATTTTTTTTCCTGCTTTTTTGTGTAAGTCATTCCTTTTGTGGTTGTCAGTGCTTTGGTTTTTGCTGCTCTCAGTTGTTCATGCCTCATGCTTTTCTATAGAATAATGAAACATAATTTTTTAAAGCAGAAATTATGCAGCTGCTATTATTCAGGGATAACCAAGCGATGGGTTTTTAGTGTCTGGACGACAGCTAGTCAGACTTCTAGGTTTCTTGTCTACATTTTATGATCTAGATGTTCCTTCTATTGGAAATGATATTTAGAGCCTACAATCTAGACAGTAGTGGTGCTCCATATAAACTAGAGTTGTCACGTTTTAGGCATTTTTTTAAAGGCCTTCTATGAGTAGTTTTTTTGTTTGTTTGTTTTATCATCATAGGTAGCTTGGTCTTCTCTGATAAAATAACAATTTTGTTAAATACTACTTTTTTTTTAACTGCTAATATAAAGTCAAGCACTCTGTATATAAACTATTGATACAAGCTTTTTTTCCTTTTAACTTAAAAATGTGAATTCCTGATCATAGATTTTTAAAAATTATTTGGGAAGTACTTGGTGATATTTGCCTCTAGGATAGGAAGTAGGAGAAATTTATGCTTTTACTTTGTTGCATGTGCACACAAATGAGCATATAAATGTACTTGGAAACAGAAGTTTAAAGATATTTCTTCTTAAAAAGTCTTGAAATCATTTTTCTCTGTTGTGGTGCTTTCATGCTTGTTTAGTTAACCCCACAATAGTGGGTGAATTGTAATTTTCTTATAGGTAAGAAAAACCATTTTGAAGTACATGTATCTTGTGCTACACGTTTTAGTCATTAAGCACTCATTACTATATATATACTTTTTTTTTGCTAACTTTGTTTTTTTCCATTTAAAATTATTTGTGATTATAAAATACAAAGTTAAGTGTGTTTTTGTGTAGCATTAAGACTGAGAAAGATTCTTTCGAGGTTTATATTTCAGCAGGAGAGTCAAACAGGATAGATAATAATAAATACAGTTGCATGATAATTACTATAGAAAAATGAGAATAGGGGCTAGAGTGTATTTCCAGAGGTATTTTATGTGGAAGTTTCTCTGGAAAGGTAACATTTGTGCAAACTCTGAGTAAAGCAGTAAATGTTTGAACATCAGTGCTGAGAACCTGTGAGACAGCAAGTAAGAGGCCCTATATTTGGGAACAAGTCTTTTTTAAAGTGACAGAAGGAGAAAGCTTTGTGGTGAAGTCAGTAGTGAAGTTGGGTGATAAAAGAGGGAGCTAAGAAGTAGTCATCTTAACAAAAGGTTTTGGCTAGTAGTAAGCAAAGATCACCCAGTTGTTAGTATTGAACTAAGTGTGATTTTTTGCATTTTAAAAGGTTATATTTAAGAAAGGGGGAAATGAAGCTACCATAAAGGTCTTATGTTGCTCACAAAGCTTTTGACCTTTTGCAGAAAAAGGTACATTTGATTTTATTAGAGTAATCTGAACAAGGATGTTGTAATGCTTTGATGTATGTTAAATAGGTTGTAGTGGCGTTTGGCACAGAGGAAATGAGGAAGCCACACGGAGCCTATTGGGGTAATCCTGGCAGATCATGGCTTGGCGTCAGAAAGAAGTGGAGTTAGTAAGAAGTGATTGAACTATGGGTATATTTTTAAAAAGAGTGTCAGTTGGAATTGCTATGGGACTAAATTGGCATACCAGAACATACAAAACTGTAAACTTTTCCCCACTTTAGTTTCTAAAGGAAAACATGGCCATTTTTAAATCTGTAGGTATATAAAATAAACTCCCATATAAAATAATAACTTTACTCAATCTCCACTTTTTAGAGATATTTTTTAAAAAAATGTGTGTTTATATTGTTCTGCAATTTACCTTTTTTTTAAATGATTTTATTTATGCGTACAGAATTGGGGTACAGGCCTGAGTGAGGGGGATGAGTGGATTCACCAGGGACAGCAGAGAGCAGAACAGGCAGATCTACTGAAATACCCTCCTGAGGGGAGCAGCAGGTGGGCCAGGAGAGATCTACTATGCCTTGTGGGTCAGCCCCCTGAGCAGGGATCAAATTCATGCTGTAGTGGCTGAAGATAACCTCACAGTACTGTGCTTTAATCTGTTGCGCCACCAGGGAGAGTTACCTTTTTAAGTTTAATATAACCTATTGTATATAAATACAGAGAAATTGAATTGTTTTTAGTGGGTATATGTATACATGTACAAATTGTGTACATGTAGCAATATGTATACCTTAATATTTTTGTGAA